CCTGGTATCAGTGAGACAACAAAAGAAGAAGAAAAGAAGATTGTAGAAACACATCCCAGAGTGATAAAGGTAAATTATTCTCAAATTTTTAACCGCATGAATAAATATGTAATGAGGGATATTTTTCCACATAAAACAATGCATAAAGCAAAATGGGTATCACCAGACCAGATTACAGAAAAAAAAAACTGATCATATAGATATTACCTTGAAGTTGTGACAATTTCTTCTTTTTTTTTTTCTACTTCTGGTAATCCCCTCAATGAAGTCAACATATTAGTCTTCAAACACAGGTGAAATAGTGATGTTTTCAGGCCATGCAGAGTTCTAAAATATTTATAAAAGTTCTAAATATGTCTTTAACAGTCTTCTTTCTGTGTCTTAGATCCTTTGTTATCTGTTTTGCTCTCTGGGCTCCAGTGAATAATCTTTGCTTTTATATCATGACTAGGTTTTTTTCAATGTGTCATATTCAGCACTTTTCCTCACTCTTTGATGTGCAGGAATATTATTAGTTACCAGCCTGAACTCTACACTAGTGGTAATATTATACCACTGTATTCCTTTCATTCCGAGTGGTTACGAATTAACCAGTGTTTTCAGTTTATCAGTAACCCTTTTAGCTTGTTTTCTTTATTTATGGTCCATGGTCCATACACCCATGCAGACTGACATTGCTGTCAAATCAAATTTTCTAAATTTTGCATTGCGTTCAATTTGTTAAGACATCTAGATTCCAGATTTTCTAGTACACTGGGAAACTCCTTGCGTCTTTTTTCGTATTTTTATATCTGAATCTTTTTCCTAAATTTGTAAACATTGCTGTCTGATAAGATTGACATTTTTGGTCCACTGAAAACCCACCTTGGCGGGAGAAATTAAATGTGAAGTGAAAATGTGGTTTAGAAAACAGAGCACACTATTCTATGCAGCAGGTTTAGGAGGACTGATAAAACGATGGGACAAGTACATCAATGTTGGTGGAAATTATGTTGAAAATTCTTGATCATGACGCTACTCCGTCAGGGTTGACTAATTTCATTTCTGGCAATAGTTTATTACTGTCTTTGTAATCCACTCTATAAGCAAAAAGTATCAAAGTGATCAATGGCATCCCAGTTGTTCAACTGATCTTATTTCAAATTTCTGTTAGTTTTATCTAATGAAGAATTCTGTGATGAATGTGTTTATATGTTGCCTATATCAAATTAAAGATTTTCTGTCAGATACCAGTGTGCTTCATGCTTAAATAAATTTTTAAGGATCGTAAATAATCTTTATAAAGTCCACTATTTCCCTTGAGATCCCAGAGTACCTGATGATTAAATAATCTTTAAGTTACATAAACGTTTTATAAGTAGAGGCATCAATTCGTGTGCTGATTAGAAACAAATTAGTTGAAACTTAAAATGACAAATGATACAAGGGCTTGGCATGAATTGGGGATTACAAAGTAATTTAAAAAAAAAAAGAAAAATTGGATTTAGTTTAATAAATAAAAAATGTAAACACAATTTAAAAAAAACACACACTAAAATGGATTAAGTTTTCAGTAACTGACCACATCACACAAGGGATGATGTAACTATTGTTACATGAGAATAGTCTTTTTTTTTTGTTTGTTCCCACTTTGGCACAGCTGGTCAACCAAAGAAGTGCACTGATCATAAAAATTAAACCTCGCCACCTCTGCAAACTAAAAACATAAAATCTGTGTTAAAAATCATATTTTAAAAAGCTGTACAATAATGTTCAGCAGTTACAGAGTTCCCATACTCCTGCATGCATGTGCACATGCGTTCACTTACACACATACATGCACGTACGCACGTACACACACACACACACACATGTATACACAATTCAGGAAAACAAAACTTTAAAACTTGAAACACTAAATTATACAAACATCAAAGGATGAATACAAGTTACCTTTCTATAAATATACCAAATGTGCAAACTAGTTATCCAGACACTTGGGCAACATTGGCCAGTAATTCTATTAAACACTAACCAAAACAGCCCAAGAAGTAGTTTGCCATAAAAATACATGTCTGGATACTTATGGTAACCACTTGAAATCTTTTTGTCCCAACAAACATACCATGTATGATCAGCTGTTGTCTAAATGTATCAAACATCAGATGGTGCGTAACTATTTCATTTTTATTTGGTCTTAGTATGCAAATGAAATTTAGCTGAATATTTGAATCTGCTGTATACAGCATGTTGCCACTTTAAAAAGTAAAAACTGATTCTTTTTCTAAGCAATGTTCCAGTGTTGTGAATCTGAATAAAGGAGACAAACAATAGATGGTACAACTGATTTTCTTGGCATATTTCGCTGAATCTTGTCAGTTATATACTATTGCAAAACGATTTATTAAAGCGAATAAATGATTCCTTCTAACTGAAATATGGTTTAGTCCAGAATTATGCAGACAAAAAGACATCGTCGTCAGTCTGTGACTGCCCTTGTGACACAGGCAGTATTTTGAGAATGTGTTTATTTTTTTTATTTTTTAGTTTTCATTTTGAAGGATTTTAGTGTTACATGTTTTTATTTAGCGAAAGTATTTATTTTTAAACAGTCTCTCTACTTTTAATTTGTATAAGAAAATGTTTCAGAAAATGTTCTTCTAGTTTTTTTGCAAAATTATTTCACCACCATTAAAGAAAAAATCAAGTGATTACAAACTAAATATCACTGACACACATTTGTCAAATTCATTATAAATCTTTAAAACAAATATCCACATGCCTCCGTTTTCATTTTCCCTGAAATTATTTTGATAAAAATTCTTATCTGTAATGCAAAAAGAAGAATGTCTCATCTTTACTGTCCTCATCTTTTTATATGATCTTCCCTTCTCACCTGTGACTCAAAATTGGCACAAACAAAATAAGACTGGAAAGATACCAGTTTTTATAGGAATAATACTTTCTTATATAACAACACATGTGTTTGCATGCATACGGTTTCCCCAATAACATTCATGTCTGCAGAAATATTATTTTCCCTCATAATTTCATGTGCCTGCAGAAATTTTATTTTCCCACATATCTAAATGTGTCTACAGAAATGTTATTTTCTTGCACATATAAATGTCTGCAGAAATATTGTTCTCCCACATAACTTTATGTGCTGCAGAAATATTATTCTCCCACATAACTTTATGTGCTGCAGAAATATTGTTCTCCCACATAACTTTATGTGCTGCAGAAATACTGTTTATCTATCAAGCTACATGTGTCTGCATATATACTGTTTTCCCACACAAACTACAAGTGTGTGTGCAGAAATACGGTCTTCCCATACAACTGTGTGTGTCTGCAGAAATAGTGATTGTCTACACAACTAAATTCACGTCTGCAGAAATACTGTTATCCTAATAACCTACAAACATCTATGTTTGTATAAATATTGTTTCTCCATACAAGAGCATGAATTTTGAAAGAAAATGTCATCGAAAGCAGCCTGCTTGTCTCTACTTTCTATTCCTCCATGTAACAACATGTATGTCTGCAAATAATATGGCCATTGTCTCTGAAATTATAGGGGTGGCTGAAAGTGTAAGACCGTCTAGTAAACAAGTGATTTTCTAATACTGTTAGGGAGTATTGCATCCATTGCTTTTTAAGGGCTCGCTGAAGGCAGCCACTGCAATCACCATTCTACTATCAAAAAGTAGTTAATGCAATATTCCATAATATTTTGAAAATATTAGTTAGTGGTACCTCGGATCATGAACCCCTCTAGTCACACAAAAATCGGCCAATGAACACAATTTCTGAAGACATTTTGACTCGACTGTATATTTTATATGATATATAAAATCCCACACATAAATCGATAAAACAGTAAAAAGAAACAATGTCTCTTGGGCTGGCGAAGGGATTGATTGGATTTGAACTGATTTCAATGGAAAGAAAATGGTTTCAGCTCACGAACATTTCAGATCACAAAACAGAGTTAAAGAACAATTCAAGTTCATTATCTGAGGTACCAGTGTATTTACTAGGTGATCTTAAACTATTAGTCACCATTATACAAGCTTCCTAAACAACTACACATAAGTCTGTAGCAGCTTTATCCTTCAAAACTACTTGCTTGTCTTTAGAATTGCAATTCTGTCGCATACTAAACACATATCTTCAAAAACAATGTTCTTCCACTAAACATTACTAAGCATCCGTACAAATACCAACTTTTCATACATATGTCTGTATAAATAACATCATCCAAAACTAATTATCATTTTCTAGGCAGTTATATTATTCTCAGTAATACTTTATAACAACATAATCTTCATATTATGCACACATAAAATCAATAGTATCTCATACCATTAGCACTACGCAAAAGTCACCAAGGTGCCATTTTAGCAATTTTCAGCTAAGTGCATTTTCAGTCAGGCAGCAGCATAAGAGGGCAGGGTGTAAAGGGGGTGCTGAAAATAAGGGGTTGGGGGTGACAACATGTATATGTTTTCAAAATAAAAGAATATCTGTATGTATGTGTGTGTTTGGGGAAGGGGAGGGGGGGGGGGGGGGGGGGGGGGGCAGAGTGACCAAAATGTCAACATTAAGTAATGCTTTTTATGCAACTGCACAATTTTCATTTGCCATAATGTAATTTTTTAGAGTTTTCAATGTTCACTGGCGATTTTTCTAGAAACAAGGACTTAACACTTAGGCAGCTTCAGCCCAATGCCACTTATATGTATACAGAACAGTAACAAACAACACATGGCTACTCTAAGGTCCAGTCCATCACAAACTAAAATATACGTTCTGTAATTTAGATTACTTCTATAAGCCAGATAGAATAGATATGATCTAGATGTACTTCTTTGAACCACACTAAAAGATTATATCTACTTTTGATGTAATTTTAGCCACTTCTATGAACTGCCCTGATAAAACATATCTGATATAAATGTAATTATGTCAGCATTACTGATAGACTATTTTAGCTTCTCTAGATGTGTGTCTATGTTCTATTTTAGTAGTGTCTGTAAACATGATATCAATTTCTGTAATCCGAAGAGAAAATTGTGATCAATATCATTAGCAGGAAAAACATGAGCAAAATCGATCAGATGAACTTCAATATCTGTCATGGGTGTACTGTTAGTAATCTTATCTGCATACTGTTCTGCAGTTGAGATTTCATGTTGAGTCAAATCTGAACTTTTTGTACCTGTTTCATTTAACTTGATTTTCTTCACTGTTTCATCAGTGAAACTGAGTGGTTTATTGCTACTCCTTTTCTGTATATGTCCACTGTCTGAGTTACAATCCAAAGTATCTGCAGTAGTACTTTTAGTATTAGCAGGAGAATCTACATTCAACAAATTATTGGTGCTCTTATCACATAAAGCTACATTTTTCTTGTCGTTCCGTTGTAGTAGTTCTGCATCTTCCATGGCTCCAGCCTCCTTCTCAGCCGAGGCTGACCCCTCATAAACAATCAACAATGAACTGGCAATGAAAGACAATTTCTTCTGTTTTAAGAACCAGTGTTCAAGTTTCTTGAGTTGGGATATCAATGGCGGAATGGCATCCCTTCTGGAGTGTTTGCTGTTAAGTCGGAAAAAAAGACCTAAACCTGGATAGGAGATGAAACTTCCAGTTAATGCGTGTGTAATGAAACATTTTAATACATCAATAACAATTGGGACTCCCCCAAAGGTGTCTCCACCCTGCCGTGGTGGAGGAGCTTGTGTTTCTCAATGACCCTGAGAGCTATGCCGGCGGTAGCGTAGCTACCAGAGGAGCCTTCCAAGCCGGAAAGGTCGAAGGGTAGAGAACAGACAAAGAGAGACACCCTGGTCCTCCATGTTGGGGGTTGATGCATGGGTCCGACACCCCCACCTTCATAAAACTTTATCTCGTCACAAAACAGATATCTAAGCCTCAATTTAGGATGGATTTAAACAGACAACGAACCTGGAACGTTAAAGAACTTTTGAGATTTGGAACATGGAATGTACAAACCCTTTATAGAGCTGAAGCAGCTGAAGAACTGACCCGTGAGTTATCAAAATACAGAATGGATGTAACAAATAAATTATAGAGGAATATCACAGTTATCTACAAGCTATAAGATACTATCGGTGGTACTGCTTAACAGGCTAAAAAGATACGTCGAAGACATATTGGGAGATTACCAAGCGGTTTTCCGACAGAACAGATCAACAATAGATCAGATATTCATTTAAGGCAAATAGTAGAGCAAAACTGGGAATATAGAAAAGATGTACATAATGTTTTTGTGGATTTTAAAAAGGTGAATGATCGTGTGCATAGAAACAGTTTATGGAATGCTATGAAGGATTTTTGAATAGCAAAAAAAGTTATTTAGCATGACCAAACTATGTATGCAATAGACTTGTAATATAGTAATATATAAAGGCAAAAAGTCAGACACTTTTCAAATAACATCTGGTTTAAAGCAAGGTGATGCTCTGTCCTCACTTCTTTTGAACTTAGCCCTGGAGAATATTATAAGGAAAGTGAAACAAGAGTGTACTATAGGAGAAACTATGGGAATACTTGGATATGCTGATAACATTGTTATCGCTGGAAAAAATTATCTAGAGACTGTTTAAATACTGTCTGTCTTAAAAGAATCAGTCTCAGAAAATGGAACGAGTTATCAATCAAGATAAGACAATACATGATAATAACTAGACAGGGAAAGGATATAAACTCTGGCCACATACAAATCGATAATATGAAAATCAAACGAACGGAAACATATAAATACTTGGGTGCAAACTTCAACTGCTCCAACATGCTGAGAGAAGAAATACAATCTAGAATACAATCTGGAAATAAAGTATACAATGCCTTTCAACATCTGCTAAAGTTAAAGTGTCTGTCTCGCAACACCAAGATCAAAATATAAAAAACGTTGATTAGACATGGTCATGTTACATGGCTCTGAAACTTGGAGCACAACTAAAAGAGATTAAGCCTTATTACAGGTTTTCGAAAACAGAGTCTTACGACGAATCTTTGGACCCATCAAAGATGCAAACAGCGAAGAATGGAGAGTGAGAAGCAACAACGAAATTCATGATCTGTTTAAACCACCACTGATCACTGGCATCATGAGAGCTAATAGACTTAAATGGTTGGGACATATTGAACGAATGTCAGATGACAGAGAAGTAAAAACTATATACACCAGGTAGATGAATGGTCGTAGACCACGAGGCAGACCAAGAAGAATATGGAGAGATAATATCCAGACAGACCTGCAAACACTAGGTGTCACCGAATGGAAAGAGAGGGCCAACCAGAGATGAATGAAGGTTGGTGATATCTGCAGTAATGAACCTCAAGGGCTTGGAATGCTGAAGAAGAAGAAGAATTAACAACTGGGAGTATAAGGTAAAACAAAAGACCTTTCCCATGACACTGATAAATCAGGCGTATAATGATAGCTTTATCTTCTTAATGACCTTATAGTGGCAGAGTAATCTTCCCTGTAGCAACATACGGATGTGAGTCGTGAACCATATCCCAGTTCTTAAGGAAGAAAACAGGGGCTTTTGAGCTAAAATGCTACAGAAAGATTCCAAGAATACCATGGACAAAGAAGAGATGAAATACTGTCAATAACTGCCTTAATTACCATTTTTGTGGTGTAGGCAGGTTTTTTTTTTAGCCTGAGGATTTGTGGCCGCATGGCTAGTGCTGTTGTCACGACCGTGCAGGTAAAGATTTTATTGTGCCCCGGGCAGAAAAAAATCCCCAGCCTTGCCAAGGATTCAAACCTAGGTCTCCCGCTTGAGACCCATTGTTCCAACTGTTCAGCCAGCTGCTCCTCAGAGATATATGAAATACTGACATTTTAAAACATCTGAACATCAAGGAAGATTGGCTTATAAACAGCATCTTGTCTCAGAAGCTGAAATATTTTGGTTATTATATCAAGCGCTATGGTGGATTGGATAAAATAATAGCAGAAGGCATGGTACCAGGAAGGAGGAGCAGGGGCCCACCAACACGAAGATAGGCATAGGATATGAATGACTCCTTGAATATGAAAGTACATGAGGTGGGAGAGCTGGCGAGCGAGCGAGTTTCTTTCAGGCAGACCGTGATGAGAGTGAGGTTCTGCAAAGGACCTGCTTCATGATGATGAATGCTAGTGATATACAGTGTGCATTTTTAGGATGAAGTTATGGCACGTCCAGTAAACAGGTAGTGGATTAAAATGCCCACCGAACCTGCTCTAGATATCTTAGATGTACTTTGACAAATTTTAAAATCCGTCAGTAACCCAGAATCACCGGTTGCAACAGCATACAACATTAGAATGGAAATACCAAAAGGCAGAGGAATTCCAAGAATAACATAGATAGAAAGAGTTAACAACTTGCTGAAACTCAACAATATTGCCATGCAGCAAATTAATGAGCGCATACTATCCCAGAAATCGATAATTAACCATGCCTGCAACACATAACAATATTCAGCAGAGAAAGACAAAATAAAGTTATAATGTTAGTATAATGACAGGTTATATGTCACTGACAAATTTTGCTTAATGACAGGCTGTTATATTTCATAGACAACTGTAACAGTACTGAGAGGGTGTAATATTTCATTACCTGTAAGTGCAGTGACAGGTTATATTTCATTAACATGTACACATGACACACCCACACATGCTGAGTCTCTGAGCAGCTGATCTGGCTGCCATGCAAGCATGTGTACACGCACACAGTCGCACATACCCCCCCCCCCTCCCCTCCCCATATTATGTCATAAGACATGAGCTGAGTTGAGTTTCAAGAACTGACATCAAAACACTGGGGACATCATCGTATGTGCTCCTTGCCCATCTTCAGCAGCCAACAGAGACTTCCAACTCTGATGGTAGCATTAACAGTTGAAATGTATGTTGGTCTCGCCTTTCCTCTCAGTGTGGTGTCAAGACAGATCTCCGGGTCACCCCTCCGTTGGAACCATTTTTTGGTAAGACGTGATAATCCCATTCTGCCTCTGCACTGTTCCCTCACTAACAAAGAGCCTTGACAACATCTAGCCTGTCATGCATCTGTTCACCACTGAGTGGTGCAGAACCAGCCTGGTATTGAGATGGAAACTATTTCTCGACAACTGATGTAAATACCTTCAGAAACAATGTTTTCTGCTGCAAGATTCCTGCAGTACGAGCGGCCATAATGTTCAGCTGACTGAGTATCAGGATTGTAAATCTGCAAAGAAAAAGAAAACATTATTAATGCTGTGGTAAAGTAAGTATAAAAACACTCACAATCATGCATACTCTTTCCTTTCTCTCTTTTCTCAAACACTCACATACTTTCACACTCTCTTTGTCTCTGCCAGTCCCCCTCTCTCCTCCCCTCCCCCCTCCCCAGAACAAAACAAATGATTCTGAGCAAAGAGAATGGAGACAATGAACACTAAAACCTGTTGGTGGAGGGAAAGGTGGTTGAGGGGGGGGGGGAGAGAAAAACTATAAAACTCTAATTCAAGCAAAAAGGACACTTTTCTACACCTTCAGGCATATTGGGCATATATGGTTAAACCTATGTTTTATAGACCAATCAGCACTCAGCGATTGATGTAGCCAACATCACGCTGGCTGCCTTTACTTCCTAGACATTTGCCTGGTGCTCATTAAAAGTGGGATGATATGGGAGCCAAGGTCATTTTTTAACAATTTCCAGCTCTGCCAGCACCCAAACCCATGACCTTTTGATCTGCAGGCGAGCATCTAGCGAGCATCACCATTGTTTATTGAGATATCTGAACACCATAAATACACCGCCACAATTAGCTGTTTGGTTGTTTTGTAATATATACAATAAATAAACCAAACAGTCAACCAGATGTCAGATGCCATTCAAACAGAAATTCCTCTCACTGATATTACAATCATATGTTTCTAAGCAGAATCTCAGCAATTTTTGTCAAATAGTTTTTGAGTAATGGTAATTAAATAGTGGCAAGAGTTTATAAATGGACTATAATTACAAATATTTATGATGTAGTCGCATGTCTGATTTAGTCAAATGTATGATGTAGTCACATATCTGATCTAGGCCCCAGGTCCCCAAACTTTCAGGCCTACCACTTGCTTTTCTGTAGGTGGGGAGGGGGGGAGGGGGGGAAATCGCTGAGCCCCCCCCCCCCCCCCCTCCCCCGTTGTTTCATTCTTGTCATCAGAATCTGTGCCATGTCGATAAGCATAGACAGCCATGATTCACCATCCTACACGATTAGAATCATGGATCAGGTCAGTGCTCTTGCCCCATTCCCATCATTTCTTTTTACCATGAATCTGTCTTCTTTCTATAAATATTACAAGTTCTCAAAAACTTCTTGATATACCTTTAATAACTATATACAAACATATATATATATATATATATATATAAATATGAAACATATATATATATATATATATATATATATATATATATATACCACCACATGCTCACTTTAAAGCTCCAGAAATCCGAACTAAATTGGTAGGCGAGGAAACCAAACAGTCCGACCCAATCGCTCTTATGAACTCATCACTAAAGACCGTTGATTCTTACCCCCAAGAATGGATACATGTCTATACTGATGGATCAGCATTTAAAGCTACCATTAAGGCAGGTTACCGAATCTACATAGGCTATCCCGATGGATCTGTTGAAGAGATTTTTGATGTAGGCGGGGAATTCTGTTCAAACTATGAAGCTGAAATAATTGCACTGGAAACAGCAGTATACCACTTAAAGACTGTAATGGATGTTTACTCTTCAAAGGCCCAAAATATTGTCATCTTCACAGATTCAATGTCTGCCCTTCAAGCTCTGGAGGGCAGTGAACGCTGCAGAACTGACATAGCCAAGATAATCCTGGATGCTGATCAGCTTATTACCTCATACAACATCAGAATAGTGATGCAGTGGATTCCAGGTCACTCCGGCACACCAGGTAATGACAGAGCTGACAGATTGGCAAAGAAAGGAGCAACACAAGAACAACCACCTACAGCGACAACCCTCCAGACAGCAAAAACACTGATAAGAGCTATAAACAAAGAGACTTGGTTGAACAGATGGGCCATGGGAGACACTGGAAGAGACCAGGCCACCATCTTCAGACTTAGAACGCAACATACTCCACTCAATGGAAACCTAAACAGAATACAGCCACAACACTCCCCAGAGTGCCAGCTATGTAACTACCCCTACGAAACTGTTGAACACCATCTCTTTGAGTGCCCAAAACTCAGTGAGACAAGAAGAACGCTACTCCCTCCGAGACCAGACAAGTGGAACACCTTGTACGGAGGAAAAGAACAGCTTGTGAAAACATGCAAATTCCACTACATGGCATTGGGCCAAAGGGCGAAAGCTCATGCGCCTCTGGATCGATAACAACAACATATATATATATATATATATATATATATATATATATATATTTATATATATAGTTTTGTGTATGTAGTTTTATGTAAATATATATATATATATATATATATATATATATATATATATATATATATATATATATATAATATAGATATTTACACACACACACATGCACACACGCACACATATATAAATATATATACTATCTGTAATCGAATAAACAGAATGTTGCACCCAATTGCACCTGCACTCCCTAGTGGGTAAACAATGATCTCAAAACTTGTATATTTAGTCACTGATTTGATTTCATTTGATTTGATTCAAGAACCGACATCACAGCACTCGGGGCATTCCCTTAAGCGCTCCGTCCCTATCTTCAGCAGCCAGCGAAGAGTTCCGATACTAATGGTGCCAGTAGTTTTCTGATTAAATATCCGTCTTGCCTTTCCTCTGAGCCTTGAGCTTCTGCCAGAACCTCTCGTCCCCCCAACTGCATCAATCTCACCAAACTGTGGTGATCCATCTGCTCTTCCACATTGTACACGCTCTCCCACAAGTCACTAACCACATCTGCCATATCATGTAGCAGTATTCCACCAAGTTGTGCAGAGCCAGCCAGTCTGTCCGCCTGTTCATTTCCCAACACACCGGCGTGCCCCGGTGAAAAAATCCAGACAATACTCCTCACTCGTGTCCTCAGCAGCGAAGCATGCCACTCTGCACGAAGCATACCTGTTCTGATCTTCCTCAGCATGCTTTCTGAATCAGTTACAAATACAATGTGTGTGTGTGTCGTGTTCTCTAGCCAGAGGAAAGCTGCAGTGACCGCCTCCACCTCCATTCTTAAGCTGGATGTTGTGGTATCATATGCTAGGCTCTGCTGCACCAAACGTCGACCATTAACTTTTGCTAAAAAGCCCCAAGCACTTCTTTTGCCTCTTGACACTGAACCGTCTGTGTAAATGATCAAATCCTCTGAGCGAGCATTATCTTGAATTAATTGCTAAATTTCCACCTCTGTGGCACCTGCTGGCCAGTCTCTGCATTCCCGGCTCAGCGTGATTATGACTCTACACAAGTCTGACTGCTCAGGTGGCACTTTGACCCACTCCTCTCCTTGCCTAATGTTCTCAAGGATGCAAACCTGTCTGATTGTGTCTTCTGCTGAGCCATCCATGACCTTCCTCTTATCAGCCGCTGACCCTTAACTGCACCCAGAGCTTCATGCAGAGGGTGGTCTGTGTCTGCAGCTACCCTGAGATATGACTTCGCCTGCATCACCTTGTGCCTACCTGCAACCGTCGGCAAACCAAGGATGTATCGCATACACACCACTGGGGTGTCTCTGGTGCAACCCAGAATGACCCGCATAGCCGCGTTCTGTATGCGCTCTAGTTTGTCCATCTGACTCTTTGAGACGGTAAGCAGACCCAGGCCATAATCCACCACTGACAGGATCAGGTGCTGATATAGTGTGAAAAGCATTCTCTGCTCTATGTCAATTGCAGCCATAGTCTTAAGTGCACTAAGTCCTTTTTGGCATCTAGTCACAACACTCTCCACATGGTCCTTAAATGACAGGCTCCTGTCAAATGTAATTCCCAGATGCTTCAGTTTGCTCTCTTTGTTGACGTCTCTACCATCTATTGGGACATTAGTTTTAACGATTCTGTGTCCAGAGCACACCACAAAACAGACGCCTTTTCCGGGTGGACGACAGCCTTCGCTTCTGTACACCAGTCACTTTGTCTACTGTCGCTTGTATCTCCCGGGCTGTTTGTTCCCTCTCTTCCCACTGCCTATATGCAAGTATATCATCCGCAAAAGTCAGTATCCTTCCAACTCCTGGTGCTTCTAGGCTTGCAATCTTGCTCGTATACACTTTGAAGAGCACAGGCGAGATGGCGGATCCCTGTGACAGTCCTGGGGCCAAAGTGCATGGTTCAGAGGTCCATGAGCTCAGTCAGAGAGCAACCGACGTGAATACAGGACAGCAGCAACCCAATTCACCAGCCATGGATTGACCTCCTTCTCCCTCAGTGCAGTCATTAAGATGTCGTATCTCACTCTGTTATAAGCATCCTCGAGATCCAGTCCTACCGCCATAGTTTCCTGTCTGTTCTGGAACCCTTCATAGACGTCAAAAGCAAAAGTGGCCGCATTTGCCCAAGTGTCCTTTCCTGGCCTGTAACTTCCCAGACCTCTTGGGAGAAGCTTCCCCCTTTCCAAAAATTCTTGTAACTTTACAGCAACTATCTTCTCCAAGACCTTCCCAAATGTGTTTGTAAGGTGTTGATTCTAGAATGATTTTTAAAAGGTTTTGGTAGTGGGATTAGATAGCTGTGCACCCAGTCTTGCGGTACTGATGCTGTCTTAATACTCTGGTTAAAACAGTCGGCCATCTCTGCCAGGTCTACATCGCTCAAAGCCTTCATGTGGCCATACCTGACACCATCAGGCCCTGGTGCAGTGTCTTTTGCTTTTTTCAAAATTTGTTTGATATTTTCCACTTGTATCATGTCTTCATAATGCATATTTTTTAAGGTGCCAGCTAACTCCTTTCTAACTGCATCCCTGATGTCTACATCATTATGATCTGTCTGAGCTATAAACCTATGGAGAAAAGCCTCCCCTTTCTCCTTGTCTGTTGTCACACGCATTTAGTCACTAGTATGATTTAGTCACATGATTGCTTCAACTCTTTGAGCCCCAAGGAACGCATCATACGTTCATAGGTTACTGCATAGAAGACCAATGAATGCATAATGCGTCCATTTTACATCTCTCTTTACCACCCTTTGGGCCTGTAATGCTAAACCCTTTGGGACTCAAAGAGTTAATAACAGTTATGATTTAGTCACATGTATGATTTATTCAAATTATTTAGTCACAAGTATGATTGCGGTATCCGTGGCTTAGGTGTTGTGAGTCCAACTCATAATTTCAACATACAGGGGATCAAAACCCACTGCTGGCTGCATGGATTTTTACCATGGTCGCAGGTTGACCCAGCCTAATATGGATACCAGGATGGCTGTCCTGGGGAAGTAAAGATGACCGGTGTAATACTGACCACATTACCCACCTAGTGCCGATGGTCTGTGAAAATATGGGCACTCTTTCCATAAGCCCAATACGCCTAAAGGCGTGAAAAGGGATCTTTCCTTTTTAATTTTTTTTATTTTTATTTAGTCACATGAATGCTTTAATCACATGTATGATTTAGTCACATGTAATTTAGTCACATATATGATTTAGTCATTGTATGCTTTAGTCACATGTATGATTTTTCACATGATTTAGTCACAAGTATGATTTAGTCCCATAAATGCTTTAATCATATGTATGATTTAGTCACATGTATGACGTATTCACTCTGTTGATTACCATCATTCCAGTGATCTGAAACCCTAAATCCTTCAGTGGAGGATACTTCGACACCTCATGCTCAATTTTTTCAGGGGTTGCTTCCTGATCGTAAGTGACCTTACCCATCTTCAGGTCAATTACACATGGTTGTTTAAAACCACTTGTTAAATTGGCTAGTTTCAGGAACTTTGCTGGAAAACAAATTGAGAAATATTCAAAATTAAGGGTTAAAATATTATTAAGTTGTGCTGAGCAATTTGTTAAAAATTCAAAACGAAATGTTAAAATATTATTAAGTTGTGTTGAGAATTGTGTTACAAATTTATAATCAAAGGTTAAAATATTTTTAAGTTGTATAAGCAGATCTGTTAAACATTCCAAATGAAAGGTTACTCATATATTTTAATGCTTTCGAAATGCAAATCTGTTAAATATTCCAAATCAAAGGTTAACTTTATTCATTATACAGCTTCCAAGGTGCAAATTTTTTAAACATCCATTTTTAAAGGTAATTAATTAAGTAAAGGCCATTTTTTTTTCACCTTAGAAGCATCGGGTATATGCTGCTAGATCTATACTTTTTTGGGGGGATCAATTGACACTCAGTCAATGATGTGGTCAATATCAAACCAGCTGCCTTTACTTCCCAGGACATTACCTTTTGATGTTAAAGGGTTGATCTGGAAGGTTGGTTTTGAAAAACTCCATCTCAATGCAGATTCTAAATCTTAACCTTTGGGCCAAAAGGTGAGCATCTAGCCACTATACTACCATGGCCCCCATAATCACAGGTTAACTTCAATCATCATCTTTTTCTTCTTTGTGTTCACCAGCTTTAAACTCCAGTGGAAAGTTATTGTTATCTGTCCAATTCTTTTCCAGAACTCGATTCTTTGTGTGTGCATCCGTTTACACTCTAGCTTTATTGCAATGCAGACTGTCAGTTCACTGTCTCTCAGGCAGATGCACTCCGACTCTGAAGGAAACACCCTAATTAGTTGCCTTTAACTACATGCATGATAAGACCCATGTCTAATTCCCCTACCTTTACCACTATGGGGCCTCGGAATCCAGACATAGGACTTAAATCTCATGCATTGCAAAGCTTACATAGTTGTAAATCTGTTGACTTTTCTAAATTAAAGATTGTATTCACTTAGCCCCTGCATTCAAATAAGCCACATCTGTTAAACAGGTGTGCATGCAAAACTCTAGTTCTAGCAAAAGACAACAATAACCTTCCGCCAGAGTTAACAGCTGGTGAATGCAAAACCTTAACCAACTAGGATAGTAGGGTACCTCAAGGTAGTACTTGGTGGAGTCACAAGAAGTCCTATACCCTACCCTGTCCAGATTTCAGGCTACTTCATAACCGCTGGTGGCCTCAATATAACCTTATGGTTGAACAGGGTTTCTGAGATTTGTACCCAATGGATTCTCATATGAATAGTGATTATTTAGGTCAGTGCTCTTCAAACTATGGGCTGCAGCCCACTGGTGGGTGACAGACAAGTCCAGGTGGATCCCACAAATTTCTACTTAATCATGTAACAGGGTAGAGTAAGTCTGTAGAATCAACACCTTTGATGTGTATCATTTGTACAAATAATACAAACCTTACTGAACCGTCACAACACAGAAAACTGATAATTATTTCCCTGAAAATGAGGATCCACGAAGGGGCAACCTTTTGATTAATAATCCTGTCCTAAAAGATACAAGATCATGCGTACTTGATCATCATATAAAAGAGAAGCTGAGTTGCCAGCTGATCTGTTTTTGTTTCTGTGTTTGGTTAGCTGTAAGGTGGGCCGCGAAACAATCTCCCCTGTTTTCCTGGGCCTCAAAATAACCTCCCCTGTTTTGGTGGGCCAAGAAACAATTTCCCATGTTTTGGTGGGGCGCTAGTGTAAAAGGGTTAAGGAGCACTGCTTTAGGTCACTGAGTTTTTCCTGCTCAGTTCGCAGTCCTAGTGGGGTTTAAAACGTCACTCACAGAATGCCCTAACTATAACCATCTTAAACGGCTGAATGGGTGATCTGAGATTTGCTCCAGCTATAATGACGTCTGATTAACTGTGGTGTCTTCTTCTTCTTCTGCGTCGCCCTTAAAAGTGGTTCTGTGGTTTATTGATAGGCAGTGATTTCTGCACCTTTCAGTCTGACACATCTGATTTCCGCACTCCTAGTTAGCCACCTTTTATGACATGCTTGCTGATAGAAAGAGGTCCCCAGAATCCAAATGGGAAGCTGTCGTTTCAAACATTTATCATCCGCCCCTGTGTGGAACAAATGTTACGCTATTTTGATGCCCCACCCTGGGTGTTGCCCGGGGGCCCTAATAAAACCTAACGGTTAAACAGTGTTTCTGGGACCTCTCCACAGGTGATTCTCATCTAAATGGTGACACTTTGTGTCACCGGGTGTTTATTGCTCGGGGAGGAGGACCTAGGCTGCTGCACTCTCTTGTGGGACATAGGTGGGGTGGGGTTAGGGTCAGTTGTTTGTGTTTGGCGTTTTTTCTCTATTTATTTTGCTGTTTTACAATTTGTTTGTGTTAAACTCTGTGTGCAGTTGGACAAATGCCAATTTGAGGTACTGTGGTGTGGCCCTAAAATTGGCCAATCATTCTAGATGTATAGTGCTGGATTCACGCTTAAATTGACAATCAGAAAAATTTTATACATCAGCAGATCTGGAGAGAGGTCAGAATGTGGCACCTGCTATTGCGGCAGCAGCAGCAGAGATGACAGACTATTGTTCTGGTGGCCAGAATGCAACAATATCGGCCAGAATGGTCGCAAACACTTTGCGACCTGCACGTCTACGCCACATAAACTCACAATTGTAAGACTCTAATAAGTGTCTAAGTTTGCCATTCTGATGCTTGTTTCTCTCCTTTCTCCACTGCGCTTGATGCACTGCAAATGTGCACCTGTGCTAGGATCAACAAAATTGAATGAGTAATTGGAGGTGAAATGCATCAATTCAGGAATATTCTCAATTCCACTGAACGCATGCCGCAGGTCAGAGACTATTGTCATGCCAGGTCTTATGTTTGTGCTAATGATTGGCATAAGCATCTCTGCTTTTCTGTTTGAAACCTAGAACAAAGAGCATTCGCCGGATTCGCGACAGATGCCACCAAATACCCACTGTTGTGGAAACACTCATCCCACATGATTTTTCCACCTTGCAAACAGACTTTCATCAATTTCAACAGTGGTGTTCTCTCCGCTGATCACTACAGCAGGCACTGATGCTGCTTATTGGATGAACACAAAGTCGTCCCTAGAGAGAAGACGCTGCAACACAAGTTGCTCTGTAGAGATGCAAGAACATGGCAAAAACGTGGAAACGCCTTAGGAAGACACACAGACAGTGGAAAAGCCCACTCTTACCACCCTTGAAAATATCGGACTGTCCCGTGACATCATTTGTGGTAAACTATTGGGACAGAACCGATCAGGTTGTTTGTCCATATCCAGACTTTAGTCATGTTCCAGAACCTGAGCTTTGTGTGCATATCCGATTTACAGATCTGGCTTATTTGTATGCAGACTGTATGTTCCTTGCCTCTCAAGCAGATGCACCCTGACTTCAAAAGGATGCCCCAATTCACCGACTCCAATGACATGCTTGTTGGGGAGGCAGTGGGTCTATTCTTGTTTTCCCCATAATGGAACTTTCAAAGGGAAACCAATTAATTTTACAATTAGTAATATTTTAATTTCAATTGTTAACTAAAAGTGAACATGGATATTAATATTTATATAAAAAAGGTTATTAACTCTGACTTGTCAAATCAAAATTATGCCCTTACCACTTCCTTTCTCTTCAGTTCCATAAAATGGTGGAAGAAATGGACGTAATTCAAGAATATCTGCATCATCACAGTCGGGGTCAAAGGCTCTTTGGTAAAAGCTGAGTTCACGAATTCCTCGTGGAGGATTCTGTAATGACTTCAATACCATGCCATTGCCAAAGTCAACCATTCCTGTGCAAAATTATAGTCAAAAGCAAGGTTAGAATTTTTGTATTTTTTTTTAAATAAACCTATGTATTTTAACCCTTTAAACGCATAATCTATGTGTGCTCAGGTGCTTTTAAAGTGAGTTAAAAAAAATCCCAGACTGTGTCAGAATGACAACTGTCTGCAAACTAAAGAAAAATTTCAGTTCTAGCTTCACATTTCCAATAAGCCACTGGCGTAAAATGGGTTCTTTTCTGTAAAAGATGGCTCAACTTAACTACGAGGCCGTTTTTTCAAGCACCAGGTTCTTAATTTCAACAACATAGATATCTGTCACCAGTGTCTTGAACCATTCATTAATGCCTTTCGGCGGTTCATCATCAGTTTCAAACTGCTGGGTTGCCAGCCATTTCTTGAGGTGCATGAACAGGTGGTAATCACTTTGTGCCAGATCGGGGCTGTAGGGTGGGTGGTCAACAATTTCCCAGTGAAATTTTAGCAACTGAACAGTTCCAAATGCGATGAGAGGTCGAGCATTATCATGTAAAAGCACAATTCCTGAGGATGGCAACCTACGTTATTTTGTTTTGGATAGCACACAACTTTTTTTAAATCCAAGGTTTCTTGTCATAATGCCGTAAATCAGCGAGTGTGAAACTTTTGATAATTCGATAGACAATGCAGAAATTGTGAAAAAAAGATTTTCCTGAATTGTTTGGTTTGACCAAATCGTCTGTCATCCCATTTGGCCGACATCTATGATCTTTGTTCGCCCTTCTTTAAACATTCGACACCGTTTCCTAACCATATTATAAGTCGTAACATCTGGCCTATAAACCTCATTGAGTTGCCTATGAATTTCTGCAGCACGGTTGTTTTTTGCTTTAGAAACAATGGATCATAGCATGAACCTTGCAGCTGGTGGAAGTATTTATTGTTGCACTCATTATAAATCACTCACACGCAGCATCAAACAAGATTTCGACAGCGAAAAAAAAAAGCAAACAGCTGCTAATGAACCACATAAACATACTGCATATGCGCATATATGTTTTCCATCTGTGTTTGTCGCTGCAGTCAAAACTGGACTTACTTAAAAACTGTGCCTCATTTATGATTGAATAATTTCATCCCTGTATCGGTTCCAGGGCCCCACTGTGAGGAAAACAAGAATAGACCCACTGCCTACCCAACAAGCATGTTGTAGGTTTCCAAAGTACTGTAAAACCATTAAAGCACCCAGCTAACTTTAACTTCAATACTACTATTAATCAGGGCCAGATTTAGACATTACTATGATATGTAAAGTACTTAGGACTCTACAATTTTTAATTATACCATCTAACCTCAGAAAACAGTAAAATATATAGGACTATGCCTTTTGAATAAGTAAATAATGGAAAAATACCGTCACTGAAATGTTTATTAAAATAAATAATTAAGAATATGTTTGCAAAATCAGAGAAAATATTATATTAAATAATCTTCTAAAAGGCTCTAAGTTAGAAGTAACTTTAAAGCATTTCCCCCTTGCTTTTCCAAATGCAACATCATTGGTTATGTCATCAAAATATATACTGTGTAACATGTTTGTGAGGTCCCTTCAGACTGTGAAGCCTTAAGCTGTAGCTCATGATGTACTTACCAGTACACAATAAAAAGTAAAGATCCCTTTATACGCATTAGGCGCATCGGGCACTTGGGAAGATCATCCATATTTTTACAAACCAATGGGCACTAAGTGGGTACTGCGGTCAGCATTACACAAGTTGTCTTTACTTTCCAAGGACAGTCATCCTGGTACTCATTTAGGCTGGGTCGACCTGTGACGCCCCATATAATGATTAAAATTCAGGCAGTCAGCAGTGGGTTAGCGGTAAGTTGGAATTACGAGTCGGACTCGCAACGCCTATAAAGCCATGGACGATGTAGACATTGTAAAACTCAAATATGTATTAATGTATTACCGAGTTTCTGGTGTTGCTCATTTTCTTCATGAGCAAACTTATGTCCACCAACTTGAGTTTTCAAGATTTTCCATTCCGGTGGAGCAGGTGTAGGAGTTAAAACTTGGTCGCGACTAGTCTGTTTTTGAGACGCGGTCGATGATTCATCACAACCTGTTGATGAACTACGAGTTGACATGGTTATGTTTTGTTGCTGTTGAAGTTTACAGCAGGATCTTGCACCGAGTCTCAGGGAATATCGTAATGTTAAATTAATCATACGCGTGCATTTCATGGAAAATGTTTCATGCTTTTATCTATGTCTAGCTGAACAAAAATGAACACTGTGAAAGGGATCGTAACTTTCGTTTAATTAAATATCTGGGTAATCCTTTCTAGATCCATTTGATCTAGTTCACAATCGTGACGGCACAGCTGTAAGACAGTCTACAGCAGTGAAGGGTAAAGGTGATCCAGTAGGTAAGTATATATATATTACAAGTATTGCATTAAATGTAAACTGGGTTTTTGACATGCTATAAGAAAGAATGGGTTCGAGGGCTTGGTTATAACCAGGGACGATGGACCTTGTGTAAAATGGGGGGGGGGGGGGGGTTATCTACAATTATAAAGGGGCTGAGTGTCTGTACCGTGTGGTGATGGCGGCACCCCTGGTTGGTTGGTTAGTTAGTCGAACGATAATCCTCATTGCGATCGAACCATTTAGTCCATAAGTGCTCGGATTCCCTCCTTGGTAAATCATACATAGTGTAGCGGCTCACGACCTCCAGTTCTGTGTTGATTTCTTCTTCTTCTTTGGCTTCCTGCATAGCACTCTTGTCTGGCCACACCACTCTTAACATCTTGTTCTGGCAGACTGATCATGGTTGCAGAATCACAATCATCACTTGGCTCTCGCACACGTCTTATTCTCGTAGAGCATTCAGAATATCAGCATGGTTCACTGCTCATCTACCCTCCACATTAGCTTTACCTCATTTACCTCCTTGATTACGGTGATTATGTACGATACATCCCGGAACTCATACGGGGACCTGATCCGTGAATATGTGAGATATATCCTATAACTCAAACGGGGACCTGATCTGTGATTATGATGATTATGTGAGATATATCTCGGAACTCATACTGCGACCTGATCCGTGATTATGAAAATTATGTGAAATATAATGATCGCTTACGCCAGGGCTATTTATCTAATGACCCGCGGGCCAAATCTGGCACACGAAGGCATATCAGTTAGCCTGTGGATCATAGCCAGTTGTTTTGTGTTAATGATCTTTCCATGCTGTGGCACGGGCCTCTTTGATCTACAAACGTAGACTTATAGAACTGGTGTGTTGTAGGACGCTCTCGGTAATCTCTGAGGAAAAAAAAACGAGTCATGTGGGATAAACTCTGATGCAATAAAATCGGTCCTCTGAACTTTACACATTCTAAGCCACGATATATGAGAAAGGGTGGTCAGTTCTCTTTTTCAATACCATTCCTCCCAGACAAATCCCGCAAAATTATCGGAACACATTTGTTTGATGGGTGTCGATGCCAGAGCCTTTACATAGCAAAAATACTGCCTCTTTTCAGGGATTAAACAAGGACCAGTATATCGACATGGAATTACACTAGCCACTATTCCACAACTATTCCATATAAGTTATACTATGTCTGTGATTCTTCTTCGTCTGCCTATAACTCCCAATGAAGCATAGACCCTCAACCAACTCACGCCAAGTCGTTTTATTTTTCGCTATCGCATGCAGCTCTCACCGTGTCCTCCGCATCTTGTTAACTTCACCCTCTAGCTCCCTCCTCCATGTTTTTTTTTTTTTTTTGGGTGGGGGGGGGGGGGGGGGTATTTTTTTTATTTATATGCCCCTGTGGGTTCCAGTGCAAGGACATTCTAGTTATACCGTTCTCAGGTTTTCTCAACGTCTGTCCTATCCAACGCCAGCGGTTTTGTTTTAACCTCTTGGTCCAATTAAACTTGTTTAGTTCTCTCTCATAACTCTACATTAGTAATTATATCATGCCGTTTAATTCCTTCGATTCTGCGCAGGCACCATTAGTAATTGTCTTAGTTGTTCTCCAAGATTCCACTCCATACACAAGTATTGATTTCACATAAGAATTTAAAATTTTAAGTTTAGTATTCGTTTTAATTTATTTTGACCTCCAAACATTTCCTAGTGCTTTGAAAGCTCTTCTCGCCTTTTGCATTTGTATTATAATATCTCTACCAGTTCCCCCATCTTTATCTAAATTACTGCCCACATAGATGTATGACCTTCCGTCTTGGAGTGGGATACTATTTAGAGAAACCACATTACTATTTGCCTCATTTATTCTCATTAATGTTGTCGTTCCATTTTTGATTTTTAGACCTAGTTGTGATATCGCATCAAGACGAGAAATATCATCAGCGAAGTTCAGATCATCAAGCGGTTTTGTAGAGGTCCACTGAATTCCATATATGGTGTTAACAGTTGCTGTCTTCACAATCCAGTCTATTGCTAGTAAACATAGGAGAAGCTACAAACGACATCCCTGTCGCACACCTGTTTTTATTTAAAATGGTCTTTTAGCGTTCCCCCATGAAGAACTCGACATTTCATGTCTTTATATGTTGCCTTTGTTAAGTCAATAATTTTCTGTGGGTTCCTACAGTGCCCCATTAATTACCAGAAAGACTCCCTATCAATGTTGTCAAAAGCTTTATCATAATTTACATATCCAATGTAAAGTGATGATTTAAATTCAATGCTTTGCTCTTTATTATATGTTATTTAATTTGCAGTTTTCCGGCCTCTACCGCCACCGCCAGGAGTCCCCCACGCCGCTCATGCGGCGTGGATTGGGGCTAAACTAGATGGCTTAGACTCACGTGAGCGGCGTGGGGACTCTCGGCGGTGGCAGTAGTCACCGGAAAACTGCAAATTAAGTCGCCGGAAGTGCGCAACTGACACGTGACTGAGGCCCTGTTTTTGGCCGCCATCTTTTATGCTCGTTGTTCGGAGGATAGCCATATGGTCTAATGGCTGAACGCGGTTTCTGGGACCTATCCACGGATGATCCTCATCCACATGGTGGCACTTTGTGTCATCGGGTGTTTATCGCTTGTGTGATGTCCTGGTGGGGTAAAAGTAGATAGATAAGGCTGCTGCTCTGCAACCAACGCCACTTCTGTTGCTGTCTGCTGTTACTACCACGCCGACTATTGCTACTACTTTTGGTAACCACTTTTAACTGTTGTGTCCCATTGTTTGTCTTCAGTTGCTATCGTGATCTTAGCCAGACTTCGTCAACGTTACGTAGACAACTTACGAAATCACCACCATCAAATGCCTTGCCGACTGGCGTGGGCGAGCAGGCCTCTTTACATTCCGCGATCTCCTGCAGCATGTATCAGTTCGTGGGCGGACACACCTCCATGCCATGCAACAAGACTGTCAAGAATCTTCTCTCGTTGTCTTCCCCTATCCCTCCTTCCACAGATCCTTCCAACGCTCACAACATGTTCCATTTTTCCTTTTCTCATAACATGGCTGAAAAAAGATGAATGTCTTCGGGCTCCCGCCTCTTTCAAAACTCTTGTATGTTCTTTTTGGCTGTCCAAGGAATAACATAACGTGTATTACGTAACATAACATGTATTAAGTCATCTTATTTTAATGGGCTGTAAGATAATGAGTCATTGTCTCGAATTGTGTGTTTGTGGTAATGTAAAGTTCACGTGTTATTTCCTTTCATCTCTGCCACTTCTGTTGCCTTTGGCAAGACTTTCTGTTAGCGTCTAGTATTTTCCATGGTCGGACAGACAGTTAGACAGACAGATAGATAGATCGATAGATTATATGATAGATTTTAATTCTATCAGTTAAAAACAGTCAAGTAAATGTATTTACCAACACTAAAGATAAAATGGACATGGTAATGCTCATGGTATTTCCCCCTCCCCCTACTAAGGGACGTGAATGAAGTTTAACCCCACAAGGACTGCACAACAAGCGATAAACACCCGGTGACACAAACTATCACCATTCAGATGAGAATCACCCAGACACAAGTCCCAGAAACCCCGTTCAAACGTCGGGTTATATTAGGAACCCCGACAACAGCCTGGGTGGGGGCTTTAAAAAAACGAAAAATTGCGTCTCATATCATCATTGTAATACTGGCTGTAAGGAGCGTAAGTAAGTACGAGTAATCTCACAGAGCGATAAACAGCCGGTGACGCAAAGTGCCACTATGCGGATGAGGGTTACCGTGGAGAGGTCCCGGAAACAGCGTTCAATAATTAGGTTATATTAGGACCCCCAGCAACATCCATGGCATCATACAAATGGATGGTTTCAGATATTAAGGGACGTAACCTAATCATTTATATAATTGTTGTACTCTAGAAGCAGCAAACAAGATTTTTAAATTAACATTTTAATTATCAATGTCTTTGATTCTACAATATTAAGCACACAAGTTCTGCATAGATTCTTCAAATATGACGTGAAATGTCAACATTGATAGATGCCTACTTGCAATGTATTGAACAAGCACCAAGTATTTTACGCCAGGAGTTCTGCATTTAAAAAGATGTAACCATAATTGTTATTTATTCTTCTTCACAGTATTAGGTATAGTTTGTCTAGGAGGGGCTTTTAGTTTTCTATTTCCGGAGAAGAAAGGATATTCACAGGAACCATGCCTAAACAAATCCAAGAAATCAAGGACTTTCTGCTTTTCTGGAATTCATTACAGCCAGAAGGAAGGATGCTAAATCTGTCAAGATCAAGAAAAACAAAGACAATGTCAAATTCAAGGTGCGATGCAGCAGATACCTCTACACCCTGGTCATCCAGGACCGAGAGAAGGCAGAGAAGCTGAGACAGTCATTGCCACCAGGTTTGGCAGTCAAAGAGCTTAAGTGAAATTATTAAAAGAAGAAATCATAAAAAAAAAAAGGAGGGGAAGTAAATCCCCCCCCCCCCCCCCCCGAGCGAAACCCCTTAGATTGTCAATAAATTAATGAGTGCGGATGTCCTAGAAAGATCACACACGCTACATGAAAATATAACAGAAGAAAATTGCATTATATACATTAAAGCACATCTTATGCGTCTGACGTTGAATGTTAGAAAAATAATTTTTGCTTCCTACATACATCTAGTTTTAACATACGGCTGT